CAGCAGAGGGCATGGTGGTCGGTCACTATGCGAAAATGAATGCCATGGAGATAGGGACGGAACTTTGATATGGCCCATATAACAGCCAGACAACCCCGTTCAGTGATAGTATAATTTCGCTCAGCTGGTGTGAGGGTGCGACTTGCGTATGCGATGACCTGTTGGGTGCCTCTAGAATTCTGGGCCAAGACTGCTCCGATGCCGTGTCCACTTGCGTCGGTGCGTAGCTCGGTTTCGGCTCCTTGGGTAAAGTGACCGAGGATGGGACTGCTCGTCAAAGTCAATTTTAGGGATCCAAACGCCTGGTTTTGCGATGGTCCCCATTCGAATTTGGTGTTGGTGCGAAGGAGCTGATTAAGAGGTTCCGCAACGTGAGCAAAGCCAGGAATGAATTTGCGAAAATAAGTGCACAATCCAAAAAAAGCACGGACGTCTTTTTGAACTTTCGGGGTAGGAAATTCTGAAACGGCTCGAAGTTTTTCAGGATCCGGGCGAATACCATCAGCGCTTACTAGATGCCCAAGTACTTTTAGTTGTCGAGTTCCAAATGTGCATTTCTTGAAGTTTAACTGTAGGCGGGCGGACCGGAAGCAATCAAACACTTGTTTAAGGCGGTGCAAATGTTCATTAAACGTCCCTGAAAAGACGACGACATCGTCAAGGTAGCACAGGCATACATTCCAAGTGAGGCCGCGGAGCAACGTGTCCATCAACCTTTCAAAGGTTGCGGGGGCGTTGCAGAGACCAAACGGCATTACGTTAAACTGATAAAGGCCGTCAGGTGTAATGAAGGCTGTTTTCGCTTTGTCAGCTTGAGCGACAGGTATCTGCCAGTAGCCGCTTCGGAAATCCATTGATGAAAAAAATTATGAACCTTGCAGTGCGTCTAAGATGTCGTCGATTCTTGGCAGCGGGTAAGCATCTTTCTTGGTCACCCTGTTTAGACGGCGGTAGTCCACGCAGAAGCGCCACGAGCCATCCTTCTTTTTAACGAGAACGACGGAAGATGACCAAGGGCTGAAGGAGGGCTCAATTATGTTGTTCTTTAACATTTCGGTGACATGCTGTTGGATGGCTTTACGCTCCATGGGTGAGATTCGATAAGGTCTGCTTTTCACTGGAGATGCATCCCCGGTATCGATACGATGGTGCACCACGGACGTTTGAGCGAGAACTCGGCTGTCGAAGTCAAATAAATCGGAATATGCTGAGAGAAGGGTGACCAAAGAGTAGTGCTTCTCGGCAGGTAAGGCGGCATCCACCATTGTTTTTATCATGTCGCTAGTGCGGCGTGCAGATGTCTGGGGGCAACCAGTTGACGATACGTCCGTGTGAAGAGGGGCAACGATGTGTTCTTCATATCGGTTTATAGTTGCTACTTGAGTGTTTCGTGGAAGTATTTGCGGCTCGGGAGAGGTGTTAGCAAGGCAAACAGGAACGTAGCCTCCCACTATGGACACAAGGGAATAGGGAACGGCAACATTTTTCTTCAGAAATAGTCTTTCGGAAGGTTCGACTAGTGCGTAGGTTCCTGTGATGGGTGGCTGGGGCCTCAGCTCGACGATGACGGCGGATAGGGGTGGTACAAGGAGGTCATCATCTGTACGAAGGGTCTGGGGTGATGAACTAGGAGGATCATCCACAGAATCGTAACTGTTCAATTCTAGCTCACCGGCTGCACAGTTTATGAGGGCGTCAGTCGATGTTAGGAAGTCACATCCTAAAATAACATCAGCGACGCAGTTTGAAAGCACAAGGAATTCAATGATGTAGGACATGCCTGCAAGGGACAGAGGTATGGTGGCACATCCTAGGGGTTGGACTAATTCACCATTGCCCACGCGCAATAAGTGTCCACTGGCTGGAGTGAGCACCCTACGTAAACGGCGACAGACGTCTTCTGAGATGCATGATTCTGCGGCTCCCGTGTCGACCAAGGCGACGAATTTGTGCTCTCCGATACAAACATTGACGGTAGTCGGCCCAATAAGAGGAGGATTTGCGTCGAATTGGGGCAGCGCAGCCTGACCTCCGGTGGCAACGCAGGCTGCCCTATTTAGTTTGACGACGGCGTCGACGCAGCTGCAGCGCGGTTGAACGGAGAAACGGAGCGGCGGCGTGTTGGGTATGGAGAGGGCGACCGGCGGCGGCGGGTATCTGATGCTTCTGGAGCATCAGGACGGCGAGCGTCGGAGAGGAGGGCGTCAGAGGTGGCGCTTGCATCGAAATTTCTTGAATAGCGAGAGAAACTAGCAGGTACACGATACGAAGCATTGTCGGTCATTCGTCTGCGGCAGTAACGGGCGATGTGACCAGCTGCGTGGCAATAGAAACATACTGGACGTTGATCGTCTGTGCGCCATATGTCAGTCCGTCGTCGTTGCCCGTAAGGTCGATATGGTGATTGAGCGCGATCCAGGAATGGAGTCGTGTAACGTGATTGGATGTCGTGTACCATAGGGCAAAGTGGTGTTGATGCTTGCGTTGTCGGCGCGTAGATAGGGGGAACTACCTGGATTTGGTTCAGAGCCGTGCGTAGTTCGTCCTGTACTACCTTCTGAACACCTGCAGTGTCCATTCGTTGGTGTACTGCAACGTCCGGGGCGTGCAGTGGGGCTAAGTATGCCTGTAGCTCCTGGCGGATGATCTGACGAATTAGCTCAGGAAGCTCCGATGGCGTTGCGTTGTTTGTGCACACCTCAGGGAGACGCTCGTATGGACGTTTCATGATGCGTGTACTTTGTAGCTCTTCGTATCTTTTGCACTCCGTAATGAGCTGTTGGACAGTCGCAGGCGACTTCGGAGCGACGACTGAGAAGAGGTCATGTGACAGTCCTTTAAATAGGTGCCGGAATTTGTCCTCTTCTGTCATGTCATTGTCGACACGTCGGCACAGGCGAAGGACGTCCTCAATATAGGCAGTAGATGACTCTGTTGAGGATTGGTACCTTCTGGCAAGTTTATCTTTGGCCTGTTGCTTGCGGCTTTCTGGCTTTCCGAAGACTTCCGCGAAAGCCGTCTGGAATCCCTCCCACGAATCGATGTCGTCTTCGTGGTTATCGAACCACTGTAGAGCGGTATCTTTTAAAAAAAATACGACATTTGCTAGCTTGAAGCTGTCGTCCCACCTGTTATGTTGACTTGCCCGATCATAACTTTTGAGCCAGTCGTTCACGTCAGCTTCTGGCGCCCCGCTGAAAACTGGTGGGTCTCGTTGTCGATTTTTGACGGTCGGAGGGGCGGGTGCGCGTTGTTGAGTGGCGTTGCCGGTCTCGTCGGGCATGGTGGCCTGCGTTGATCGCCCGCTGCGGAGCTCCAGGACAAGAGAGGATGGGGATGGTCCTAACCTCCACCACTTGTGAGGGTGAATATGATATATATATTTGAGGGTGATCTGTTGAAGAACAACAGCGATGGCTACTACAAATATGCCTGAAGAATAACCCCCCAGCTCGTGCAACACAACTGCGCGGGCTCCTTTTCGTCTTTCGCGACAGTGTCCGTCGTCGTCGTCTTCGTAACAATATATATATATATATATATAAACACACGCGGCGGCGTGTGTTTCCAGAACACCTCCGATTGGACACGTTTCGTTTCTTGTGCGTTAATAAGACAGGTAGGAAACGCCAGAAAAGCCAAGGTGGAGTGGTGTAGAGGTTAGCACACCCGACCGGACATTGGGAGGCCCAGAGTTCAAATCCTGGCTCCGCCGTTTTTTGGCTTTCGGCGGGTTCCTGAAGACTTTGATTCTTTGATTCATTGAATTAAATATGGTTCATTCATCTGCACATATTCGTTTATATATAAATGTATATATATATATAGAGAGAGAGAGAAGCATATGGTTAAGAATATATATTCTTAACCATATATTGGCTGAAACCTGAAAATAAAATTACATGCTCTGGTATACCTGATCATCACATTTTTTCAACGGCCACATGTAGCCTAGAAAGCATCAGTTAGGCTTCATTTTGCAGCCAAGCTTTTCTAGCGCACTACTTGTGTCGCCAGTCTTTCACAGGTGCGTGCACTGAAGTAATTCCTTAGTCCTTGCCGTACCTTTTGAGTTACTTTGGCTGCAAATCCCATCCGAGTGTATAAATGACTGTTGGCGTTGTGACGTACCGAATACGAGTCGGATGGCTCTCGCCCTGCTCGAAAAAAAGACGCTCCAGTTATCACCGAAACAGTTGAGAATTTCTGGTTTGGGAGCATTTAGGCATTTCAATCTGCTCGCTGTCCTGACTGTACCTTTTCTACGACTTCCTTGAGCAGGGGACGTTGAACTAACCCCACGTCCCACTAACACTGAAAAAATAGATCAACTGCAAGAATCCATTGATAGTCTGATAGCAAGTAGCAATCAAAACCAGAGGGAAAACGTATCCAAATCAAACGAAATCAAGAAAGGTATTGCAAACCTGAGCTCTCGTGTGAGCAGCGTGGAAGTCAAAGTTGCAGAAATCGGCCAAATAAAAGAGAACCTGGTTAACGTTACCGAAACACTTGGCATTGTGGAGCGGGAATCTGCGAGTGCGCATGAACAGATTTCTAGGCTAAGAAACTCTCTGGATGACATGAATTGGCAGATGCGCGGAAACAATCCTTTCTTTGTCGGTTTGCCGGAACGACAAAGTTAGATACCACAAAACTGGTATCTAACTTTATCCAAAAAAAACATAAAAAAACTAACGCCTAACCTTGGCGCAATAGAAAGAGCCCGTCGACTGGGGCCAAAACGTCTAGGTTCAAACCGCCTAATAATTGACCGCTCCTCAGCTTCAAAGCCAAAGATAAAGTTCTACGAAACGCTACCAAATTTAAAAAAAAAAAATTGTCGCCGAGGGTATGGGCTTTGGAGGACATTTTCCCGCGAGTAAGTTTCGAAAAAAAGAAATTGCTGGATTTTGCCGCCCGGTTTAGGGATCAACACATTAGGTACAAACTTTCGTTCGATAAATTGCATGTTGGTAATAAAAGTTATGTGTATAACTATGCTACCGAAACTGTCGCGCCTGTTCAAAGACCACCTGAAGTTGTCCGTGCAAACGACTGACGAAACCTGGATGTACGTCAACGTTTTGTTAGTCCGACATTGTCCTTTTTCGTTGAAAATTTGTGCAGTTTACTTTCAAAGCAAGATGAATTTGAGTACATTACCGCCTCTTGCAATCCTGACATAATAATTCGAACTCAAACTTGGTTGACGCCAAGAGTAGACAACAAAGAGTTAACACTGAACAAATCATTCATCCTATATCGTAAAGACCGCCCAAATGCAAGAGGCGGTGGTGTTTGAGTTGTTGGTGTTCGGTTTTCGTGGTGTTCGTGGTGCTCGAGGTGTTCGGTTTTCAATTTGAATGTGCTTGGCATTGTGTACAAGACTTGAGCCAATTAAGGGACCCTCTGATGTTGTTCTTTCTTGTTTGATCATTTTTTTAACACAAAGTATTATATGTATTGTGCTTTTGTATGAATTAAATGAAATTTCAGGTTGAAGTCTTTTTTTTCTTTTCTAAGTCTGCTTTATTGTGTGTACTTCCCATTGAATTATTACATCAATTAATTATTCGAATATATGTTAGTGATTTCTAAATGTCCGGAATTGCTTTGAGCTCGTCCAAATTAACTCATAACTTAGTGTCTCCTAAATAAACCTACGCAAGGTATATTCTTTTTGTAAAATTATTAATCATGAATTATTTTGCTTCAACACCAACGCGCAGGGCTTCCCGCTCGTTGAACGCTGGCACGTCTTGTACAGGAACTACGAAGAAGACCCTGTATTTGGCACTGATAAGTGTATAAGGTTTTATCAGGAGGATTCGGAAAGCAATGGTGAATATCCGATTACCTTCGACAATGGACAAGACACTGAACCTGTGTGGGTATAACTTTGTACGCATCAACCTCCGAAAATTGAGGATAATAAGGCAAATCGAAAGAACGTCAATCAAATATTTCCAGAAAAAATGAAAGCATATCACAAAGAAAAAGGGGAAGTGTTTTGCTACCATAAACGTGTATATAAGAATTTTCCGACTTAGGCGTTCCTACGATGGCTTATTGTAGGAATAAAATAAAAGTAAGAAAAATAGAAATTCTGACAAAACATATATTTCATTTGGCACTACGGTCCCTGAGACCTTGAAAACACAACTCGTGGCCTGTCCCAAAAGTCTCATCATGTCTCCGAAGCCAATCAGGTTACGAGATTTAGCAATAAGCACCCTGAAGAACGAATAACTACACTCTCAAGAAAAAAGGGTGTCAAAGGGTGTATTCTTACACCCTCTGTCCCATATAATACACCCCCAAACTTCAATTCGACGTACAGCGCCCTACAGTCGAACAGACGGCCCGAAATTTTACGAGGGGCTTGATAGCCGTGTGGTACAACTTATTAAAATAGCTAATGTACGTTTTACTGAACACGAAAAAAATAATTCGGGTTTTCTTGGCCCCACTGTAAATGCTTGGTGTATTCTTTACGTGGTCTTTGATACGTACTTTAGCTATTTAAAATGTTGTACCACACGGCTATCAAGCCCCTCGTAAAATTTCGGGCCGGATGTTCGACTGTAGGGCACTGTATGTTGAATTGAAATGCTGGGGTGTATTATATGGGACAAAGGGTGTAAGAATACACGATTTGACACCCTTTTTTCTTGAGAGTGTATGCAAGGAGCGGGAACATTACAAGCCACGCCCAGCCTTGGTTTAGCTCTCATGACTAAAAATAGTGAAACTTTTACTAGTCCAACTAGAACTGATTAGTTCCGTCAGTTCCGAATAATGGTCGAAAAGTAGAATGTCGATTCAAATATTCGATAGCAAAATATTTACTTGCAATGCACTAAACTTAAACAAATACTTCTTAAGCCAAAAAATAAACGCCTACGTGTTTATTTTATCGCAAGTACGCCGAACGAAGAGCGCCTAGCAGGAATAAAAACGGCGCTTGAGACGCAGCTAAAGAAGGTGTTCACCACACATGTACACACATGTACACACATTCTCGTCTGTACATGTTTACACACGAGAATACCGTGGATGGAGGGCGTTCGCAGCGGGCTAATGCACACATATGCCTCAACCATTACAATCGAAGCCTTGTTCTGTTTTTTAGACTTAGGCCGAGTAGTTATTAAATTATTATTTTTCACTGATAAAACAGGGAAGGGAAAGCTATTTTTACCCCAGGGAGCTAGTTTTTATAAAAATAAATTGTACTTCGTGGTACACCTTACTTCTTACACCGTCTTCCGAGTCACTAGTCCGTGACGTGATCTTGGGCGATAGGGAGCGTCCATTGTAGTTTTCCAACAAGCTCGCGAGCTCCCCCCGCTCTCCGGTGGCTCGGAGGTTTTCGCGTCGAATTAATACACCTCTCAAGGTCTGTTCAGTAACACCGTAGAAACACAATCAGTTATCATTGCTTTTGAATGCCACCGGCAACCCTTCAAAGGCAAGTTAGAAAACTTAAGTGTGAAGTTTGTCGACGTTGCAACGCACTCACAAAAACTGTTGAGTGACAGTCGTTTGAGTGCGCTTTAACGTCGACCAACATGAACAACCAACTGGCCCACTCTCAGGTTCTATAAGTGTCAATTTTAGTGTTTGCTATTAAATATGGAAGTTGCGGAGATGGAAGGGTTTGTTCACCTTGATTATGTGGTGCCGAAAACAAAACAGTTTTCAGACGAGTTTCATAAGGAACAATCTATTTTTTTTTTCTTCAAAATGGTTAGTCATTTAAGACTAAACGCTTGCTTGATTTAGATTTAGCAGAACACTGCAAGGGCCTATATCTCACCATAATGATAGCGATCTTCAATAAACCCATCTTCATGTACAGCGGCATTTCATGTGCCAAATAATTTGGAAACTCGAACAATGCGAATTTAAAAATGAATTAATATTATTCGCGTAAGCTATTCGGTTTGACGTGAAAATCAAAAATGAGGTAACCGCCGTCGGTATTCTGTCTTTTTAAAAAAATTATTGTGTTACTTTAAATTTCTATGGATTTAGTATTTTCTCCTGTGGCATCAATTTATTATCACAACCATCGTATTTGACACTATTTGCAGCCATGGGAAGGCAAAGCTTGAACCCTCAGAAGGATATACCGTAATGAATCGGGTTCTTGTTTTTTCCGAAGGCCGTGAGTATATGTTTTCAATGCCAACAAACATGCATCTGGTATACTAATTGTAAGCCTGCTAGTGCTCCAATGTTTCGCTATACAGTTTTTTTGTTATGTCCGTGTTTGCTAACACATTCTGTCGTCCGAATTTTATTTTAGTTGATAGTAATTCTTTAGATATTAATCCGCCTAACATCTATCATGGGGGCTTTTAACACCGACATTGCAGAAAAAGACCCGCTGACCGTGTACACGTCTTACATGGACCCGGATGCAAAGTGCGGTGTCACGAGGAGCACATACGCTAGCGGTACGTGAAGTCTTATATGTGTAAACCCAACTTACGCTATAAACGAGAGCAATCTTGGTAGCAGTTCTCAATTGTATTTAAGAGCAGTGTCACGGAAAACGTACGTAACGCATTGCAACTAACACATTACTTGCATTTGATGACATCTCGGTTAAAGAGACAACAACCGGCCCTTTTAAAGAAAAGTAACGAGTAACTTAATCCTTGTTCCGAGTAGGGAAATATGGTATTTTCGCCATTTTAACAAGAACGTAAGCACCAACGTCTCTTCCCCGACTCACGTCGTCACCCTCGATTGGAAGTGAAGGCCTAATCGACAAAACCTGTACATTTTGCAAGGAACCTTTTTGTCTTGGATAGCGGAGCTTGGATATTGAGATACACTATTGCCGATAGATACGGGTAATTCTAAAGGGGGCGTACAAAAATGCTTATGTCCTGAATTCATTATGAAAAAGCGAACGATACGAATGGGTGATTAATAAGTTTTGCCTTCTAGGCAGTAAGATTTCTATTGAGTAAAAAAGTAAAAAAGTAAAAAGTTAAAATATTGTCCCCTCCAACGGCGATGCACTTCAGCTACCGGTGCACAACTTTCCGGAACCCTCCGTAAATGATTAAGGGCGGTTGTTGAGGACACCGACGGCGTACTGCATCGGTAATCTCATCGTCGAACGCAAACCGTGTACGCTTCAGGATTTGTTTTTTAACGAAAAAAAGTTGGAAGTTTGATGGAGCGAGGTCCTGGCTCTAATGTAAATTACGCAAAGCATCTTGGAACTGCAGTTCACCCAGGGCGACTTTAATCTTCTCAGCGGCCGCCCTAAATTATCTACGGCGACATGCGGAGAGCAGTACGCCGGTAGCGGAAGTGAATCGCGGCCGGTTGGAACTAGAGGGTGTCCCAAGTCACCAGGCTTGATCTAAAATGGACTATAAAAATTGACACCTGCACGCAGATCTAAACTTTTTGTCAAAGGTGCATTTCACAGGTCGGGGTTTCTTGTAAAATTGCAAAGCGTAGCTCCCTTTCTGTAAAACATAGGGCGAAAACACTTACCAAGGCGGGCGACGACGCAGACGACCCAATCGAGTTGCGGGGTGCGTTTGGCGCGCGTATTGATAGGTGGCGTCGGGAGCATCGTCCGAAGGAGTAGCCGGCCAGCGAAACAAAGCAGACGACATGCAGACGAAATCCGTTGGCAGCAATAGTGCCGTCGCGTCCTTATGCCAACGCGTATTGTTTTCCTTTAAAGGAATGGTGAACCGAAATTTGGATTAAAAAAAAAACAGTGGCAAGAGATGTAGGCGGGACGCTGCAATCCGTACAACACTACTCGTGAGGCGATATCTCAAATGGACGGCCGTTATTTTGGAAAAAGAGGTCGAGATTGAACGAGGCCGACGAGGCGCGTGACCGTAAAGATATCTCGTTTTCTCCTCTCTATGCTTCGTCCCTCAAGGCAGCGAGGCGGAGAAGACGCGAGGCCGTTCCCTCTCCCTCTCGGAGATACACGACGTAAACATTAATGTCAAATGCGCCTCCTTTTTTGAAAAATACGGTCGTCCGTTCAATTCATCGTTGTATGAGTGATGTTTTGGTGTTTGTAGCATCCCGTTGCACGCTTTTTCCGCCGTGTTTTGTGGAATCCAGATTTCGGTTCAGCATCCCTTAAAGTTTTGCTTTTCTTGTTCGCGTTCATTTCTTAATGAAATGTACATCACAAAAAAAAATATATGCCTATTTAAAAAAAAAACAAAAAAACACCATGGTGGTCGTGAGCAGTCTCGTTAAGGAGGTAGTGCAATCTATTATTACGAACGCCGAACCCGCCCTACTACTCGACTTGGTCGTCTGGGTCGCCGTCGGCGTTCACCCTGGAACGATTCTTGGCCCAATTTTTACAAAAAAAAAAGCTACGCTTTATAATTAAAAAAAAAAAACTACCTGTGAAATACAGCTTTGACTAAAAGTTTAAATTTTTACGTGCATGCGTTAATTTTTACCGTTCATTTTAGATCGAGCCTGGTGACTTGGGACACTCTACATATATATAAAAGTTGGTGCTGCTAGAGAAAATAAGATTCTAAATTTTTGTATCATAATGCAACGTTATAAAAGTCCATCACCAAATAAAAAATTTACAGGCTATGAGGTAAACCTTATTGATAACCTGTCTTATTTTCTGTTCATGTGCGAGAGGTAACGCGTCAGATAAAACGCTTTTTCATGTTTTGCATGATTCCTACTCCAAACAATAAGTTAACTTCTAAAATAAATATATTCCCCTCTATGTTCAGAGGACTACCGAAGATGTCAAGGAAGGCCGCTGTATATTTTGACATTTACGTGAGCTGAAGTCTGTCTAAAGTTTATTACGAACTAAAATAAAGAAACTATATCAATATCAGTTGTTTTTTTCCTGTCGCAAAGCGTAAACCTCGTGTGAGCCACAACTTCAAAACTTAAGTCAAAGAGAGTGCATTAAACATTTCTGCAACGCCAATATTCGTTCCCGCTTGCATGGTCCATTACTCTCCACTGATGAAACGTGGACCATTTTAAGTGACTCGTTCAATCGACGTTAGTGGTATGTAAAAAAAAAGCGTATACAGGAACCTGTTTAAAGAAATAACATGAACAACACAATAACACGGCCTTTGAAGGTTGTTTATTCTGCTTCCGGAACTTTGGGAAAAAGCATCAAAACCGTGGCTTACTCAAATTATTTTATTTTCCCTAAAAATAGGAAAAAACTTCGTTTATGATCTAGAAACCATTAACGGCACATGTATACTTTTGGAGTAGCCTGTACATGTCTGTGCCTAACCCACATCTTTAATCGTTGCAGACACTGCATGCATTGTCGCAGTTCCCGAGAGTCAACTTGGAAAACAATTTACCGCTTGTGATTTTATATACAACCTACTATGCGGTCCTGAGAAATTTCCAATTCATGACGACAGCTGTTAGGATCAAGAAGGCAATACCCTGGGCATTTTGACGCTTAAAGTTTGAATGCGCAAATAGACTGATTTTGTAATATTTGACGTTAACCGGTTGTAGGATTTGGAGAAGTGCCAATACAACTGTGAAAAAGGATGACTTTATTATTTCCGCCACTTCAGCGAGGCTGCGCGTTAACGGTTGAAGAATCTGAAAATGCCTTCCTTAAATTATGTTGTAATGAGCACTCTAAATCGACTTTATCCGCTATTATTTCGTATGAATACACTATTACTTGTTTAATATTCCAAGGAATGTTTGATTCATTATGTTGTAAAGGTGGTGGGAATTTATATTGAAATAAATCACGGTTGAAGGTTAATTAAATGTTTTATGTGTTATTCGGATGTTAGTTTGCTTATAATGGGTTGGAGGTTATAAGCGACCTGTGGTAGGCCACGACAGAAAAACATATGCAGACATTACGGTTACCTTTTAAATGTGTGCGAGATAAGCAAGTGCTTCATCAACAAGTTGTGGACTTTGCGGCCCATCACTCCGCGAAGGAACTCGCGGTCGGCGCCCGGCGCGCAACGGGCACGTGAGCCACGCTCAGGCTCGAGCAGTGGAGTCGTTCGCCGCAAGCAAAAAGTAAAGGTTTGTGTTTTGAGATCTGCCTCGTTGGTCCTTCTTTCGGGTGAGCAGTATCACCAAACCCTACAAAGTCAAGAATATAGCAATGCGACAATGAGTGGCGCCATCAATCGCTTCACGTAAGCCGAAAATTGCTCAAAAGAGCATCATTTTATTACCTGAATTTTCCACCTGAATAGAAACGTCCCCCGCTCCAAAAACCCGCAGACCCATGGGGTTATAAACCGTGTGGGTCCCACAGAAATTGTGTGGGTGTTTGGGTTCCTATGAGTCCCCGCACAATTTGTTTGGGTGTGTGGGTCCCCACAGAGTTTGTGTGGGTGCATAGGTCCGATGAGTCAACGCACAGTCTGTGTGGGTCTACGGAAGCTGTGTGGGTCCTGCAGAGATACTATTGGAGCTGTGTAGGACCAAAGTCCTGAGGGAGCCGTGTGGGTAACCCATCGGATTTTATAACCCCATGCTCTGTGGGCAATCTGTGTGGGAACCTGTGGGGGAATGCATGCTTGACACCATATTTCACTGCAGACCATTGCCGAGAACCAGCTGGTTCTGTCTTCATTTACTGCTGGGATTTTCATTTCTCTTGCTTTCGCCGGTCCTTTAGTTTTTCTCCCATTATGTGGTTCACTTTTGCTGTCGTCGACATTACAGCAATGACATCCGTATGATGTTTTTGGCCACGGAGCTTCATCACTAGGCATTGTGAAAAATATGCAACGACGAAATATGCAGAGGAGCACAACCTGTAGACGTAAGGCTTAAACAAATGTTCATTAAAATCACGTGCCACATCACTTTCATGAACAGTTTCATTGGGAATAGCCTTTAATAATGACGGACTTGAAAATTGCAATTGCGACATTCCCTATAGAATCAAGAATTAAAAAGTTAATTAACAAAGCTTGGTTAATTAGTCAACATATTGTGACGGTTCTCTCCTTATGTATGTCCGCCGAGCCCCGCAAATACACAGTGGAAAAGGCATCCACGTAACTCTCGCCCCCTTTTTTCTTAAAATTATTTTCGAATTAAAATGGCATATTCTGTATGATGTCAAACCCGATTATATCGAACTATCCCTTGTACCAAACTCTTTGTGAACAGACATGTAGCTTCAATAAAAATGCATAGCGAAAAATGCGGTTACATTGAACGAAAATTGCAGCATCTCCCGATAGATCGAACTGGCAAGGGCGCCGTTTAGCTCTGCAAGCTGGCTTTCCCCCAACATAGTCGACCCATTGGGGGAAGCCAGCTTGCAGAGAAAGCTGGCTCTTTTTCTTTTAGGCAACCGCGTCGACCGCCCGGAAGTGGGGAGAGGATGAGCCGGTGAGACCTTGAAAAACGAAGAAGCGGCCATTGAATAGCCACGTGGAGCGTCCCTTATGACGTAAAGATGCTCCTTCCAGAGTAAACAACTTTTCTAAATATCTCGTGTTTGTTTGTTGTCAGATCATTCAAACTTTCATGTAGAATTACCCGCTATATGGAACTGGTAGACAGTTTTTTTGCGAGTTCGATATAAGTGGGTTTAACTGTATAGCAATTAGCAATCATCGCCATTTGAAAGCTTTTTACGTCCAGTTCCTGGTATTGGCAAGTATTGGGCTCATGAAAGATACCGCCCCACGTCACCGTTTTCCACAACCAAAATCCCATAAAAAAGTGCCGGTTATACCCTTAATTTCATATTTTTTTCACTAATGCCTGTCTGCGCGGGCCGCTAGCAAACGCCAAGCGGGCCGCGTGTTTGAGACCCGACATATGGTGCCCCCTCCCCCCCAATCTAATGTTTGAGCAAGCCAAGATCAAACCATTAAAAAATAAGTACAATGCTGATGCTGAATTCAGTTTAGAGAAAGTGATTAAAAGTGTTCAAACATCCTACCAGTCATTGAGAGCACTAATATACATCTCATATTATAATCCTGCTTTTGTTTGCCAGTCCATGACAAGTACTTAGAGCTACTGTAATTTTACACAATACCCACTGGGAGTTCACATTGTTCCATGGGCACATCGAATCGACCAGATAAATGGGAATATTGCGCTATGGTTTATTACGACGGAATGCCTGAAAGCGGTGGCTTCACTACTTCAGAGATCAGGACATAAACCCCCTTGAGTCAAAAAGAAGGAGAAAAAAGAGAATTGTTGCAAATTGCAACAATTCTCTTCTTCAGAAGAATATTTCGCAGAGCTTTTTTTTTTTTTTTGGTGAAGACATCATATATTATTCAGGGCCAGTGAGGCATGTATTGCAACTGCAAATGATTGGAATAAAATGGAAATGCCCTACGCATTGCTTACTTCATATAGCCAAAATAAAGGCCAGTGGCACAAAAAAAATCTGGTGTTTGCACGTAAAGTTTAAAAAACAAATATGGCTTTTGTGTTTTACTGAGGTTACCTAATCTTCCCATAATTTTACTGAAAGCTTCCACCATTATGTTACAGCTGTGTGCTCAATCCTGTCAGTTTTGTGCCGTCCATCCAAAGACCACCATAACGTTGTGAACTCAGTTCAATTCAATTCAATGTTCATTTCCCATTTCTTTACAATGGCGGGTGGTCCCAGTATAATACCAACTAGCTGCCAAGATAATGCCTTGATTGAGAAGATTTTTCAAAGAACTGCTTAAGTTACGTTTACATGTGATTATTTGCACTCGCCTCTTAGTAATGCCACTTTCTTGGGTGTCAGAGGCAGCCTGCTGTCCTTGTTAAGACTGACATTCGACGCCACTTCAGTCACAGTCCTTTGCAGGACACTGGACCCCCACAGAGCAATGGCCAGGTTCTTCACAGCAACACTTGGCCTTATGTCTTGGTTCACTATGTTGTCACCCCAGGCTTTCTACGTCAACCATAAACCGTCGTAGAAATGCACCTACAAAAAAATTAAAAAAGGAGGCTAAACCGATGTATTTGGTGGTGAGATCCTCTTTTCATGAAATGCTGCTTCGTGCATATTGATTAAAGTAAGCTTTCGTTAGTTTAACCCCTTTTTTAATCTAATCATTTTGAAACGTCCTGGGAGGCACCCATACAACAGTACTACGCAGCTCGCGCTATCAAGCTCTTTTGTTACGTCTCCTGATTTTGCCGCTGTCGAACTGCAAGGGGTACTGTGTGGCAAGCCCTCTTGTAGCTTCAGCTGCTGGCGAAGGTTATTTGGCCGGCTCAGAAAAACCTGACAGTGCGCTCACTGGCTGACCGTACGCCTTGTGATTTCGCTCTTCCCTTTCCAGCCCTTTGCCTCCCAGCCCAGCTCCTTAGATGGTGTTCCATAATCCCCCTCCTCTCCCCTCCCCGCCCCCTGAACGTTTCGGTCGGCGTAATGGATAGAGAACATGAGAAGGTGCCCACTGATTTCGGTTGCCGGTGCAATGCGCGCCACTTTTTTTTCCTGTGCGCGGGTTTATTATGCAACCTCGAGCGTGGCTGGTACTATAAAACTAACACCTTAAAAGAAAAGAAGCCACTTTATGCTCCAAGATTACTGGAGTTTCATTCCCATGTACCAGGTGGAAATAGAAAGAAGATACCATTTTCAAAACCTAAGCAAGCAACATTGACGGTCGCCATTTCTTGGACACAAAAGCTGTGATTGAATCGAAGCCCACGTGGAACGCTGACGTTGCAACCACGTCTATCCACGCCAATTTCTGACGCGGCGCTTGTTTCTAATGCGCACTCGGGATCCGCGTTTAAGAAATGGCGGCCTTGGACCTGCACACTCTTCTGAAAAGGGCTGTTTGTATGGGCCAAAGGTAATTAATGGGGTGTATGATGCTCCAAATCTTTCTGCTTTATGCACTCAAAATGTTGAGCAGAATGTTATAGATGCAGGTCTAAACTTTCTACAAAGAGACGCCGCCTTACAAATCTTTTTCAAGACATTTTAAACTTGGTTCATACACCACTACTGCTGAAGTGATGCAACACCAAAAAACAATAATTTGTGGCGCTGGTGCTGAAAGAGAGATCTCATTTGAGCAACATTTATCGAGATCTACATTGTCCATTACACATTGCCGAGGCCTTTTTATCATGAAGACATTGTGCAAGCATAGAAATGCTTTCTATCCAGAGGTATCTCCTATAAAGCAAAAGATTACCAAATCAACTTACCATATCACATTCTAGGAAGTTTAGGAGCTGATATGAATAACCCTCAGCGGGTGCTTTAGCAGCTGCCTCAGCGGATGCAGGTCCAACTGTACCAGCTGCTCCATCTAAGGTTGCAGGTATTGCAGCTGCCCCACCCAAGGCTGCACCTGTGTGGCACACGCTCTGCATCACAGGAGCTGGTGCTGCTCCCACTTGTTCTGTGAAAAATATAAAAAAATATATGACATGCGTCAGAA